CAACGACAGTACCAGATTTCTCTTTTTTTTTTTAAACTGACTCCCTTATTTAAAGGCTGCAAGTCTTTAAAAAAAAAAAACCTTCCCCTATGCTTAAGTGCTGCACACCAGAGGGAATGCACCCGGTGCACCTGACAGCAACATTTCGCACTTTCATTTGGAAGAGCCGTCAATTTCGATGGTATTCTCCAGTGTAGGAATTTCCCTCTTTCAGGGAGCTAATTGCTCCCCCCACCTAAGGGGTGAGGGTTGGAAGCAGGATGACAGCTTTCTGACCACAAGAAGTTAGCTATGAAACCAGGAGACTTATTACTAATTCACGGTATGTCGAGTGAGGTATTTTATCAACTCTTCTCAGTCACTGTTTCTAAAAGCACTAGTACCTCACAAACCAACACAAGAGTCACTGCTGCTTCTTACTGACCTGCTACAGTCTTGGGGATGAGTGGCTGGAAAGCTGCCTGGCGGAAAAAGACCTGGGGGTATGGGTTGACAGCAGGCTGAATATGAGCCAGCAGTGTGCCCAGGTGGCCAAGAAGGCCAATGGCATCCTGGCTTGTGTCATGAATAGTGTGGCCAGCAGGAGTAGGGAAGTGATCGTGCCCCTGTACTCGGTGCTGGTGAGGCCACACCTTGAATACTGTGTTCAGTTTTGGGCCCCTCACTACAAGAAAGATGGTGTGTTGCTGGAACATGTCCAGAGGAGAGCAACCAAGCTGGTGAGGGGTCTGGAGCACAAGTCGTATGAGGAGCAGCTGAGGGAGCTGGGGTTGTTTAGTCTGGAGAAGAGGAGGCTGAGGGGAGACCTGATCGCCCTCTACAGCTACCTGACAGGAGGCTGCAGTGAGGTGGGGGTCGGCCTCTTCTCCCTGGTAACAGATGATAGGACAAGGGGGAATGGTTTGAAGTTGCGCCAGGGCAGGTTTAGGTTGGACATTAGGAAAAATTTCTTCACAGAAGGGGTTGTCAAGCACTGGAACGGGCGGCCCAGGGAAGTGGTGGAGTCCCCATTCCTGGAGGTATTTAAAAGACGGGTAGATGAGGTGCTTAGGGACATGGTTTAGTGGTGGGATGGCAGGGGTAGGTTAACAGTTGGACTTGAGTTCTTAAAGGTCTTTTCCAACCTAAACAATTCTACGATTCTATTTCAGAGGCCATCCTTTCTTCCTTTCATCCTCTCTCACGACATGAAACGATCAAACAGCTTCCAGTATCACTTTCAATTTAAATACTTCAGTCAAATCTAACTCTCAAGACATGCCTCAAAAAGAATTGCATTGTATCTCTAAACACCTTAGCTGGCTTTCTTATCTTGCCTACATCTTTAATACAGAGTGACCGAGACTGGCCATTATTCCATATGCAGAATTAATCTCCTATCGAACATTAGTAACTGCAGACAACCTATGTCCATGCCAACTCTGTCAGAGGAATAAGCGAACAGTTACGCTCTTACTGAAATAGAGACTGTTTCCTCAGGGGGTGGAAGGGGAGAAGAATGATGTCCTGACCAATTTTGAATCAGCAATGTACTTTTTTTTTTTTTCCTTCTTTGACAAAACTTGTGCTATATACTTTAGACAGACAGACTCCTGTACTGATGAGGTAAGCCAGAAAGGGAGATGTTACACATCTGCCTCAGCAGACAAGCCCTGGGTCCCATGTGATTATAAAGTAATTAAAAACCATTTGATGGGAATCAGAACTCAGCTCTATATACTGAAGTGCATCTTGAACGTTTAACAATAAATGCCTTCAAAGTTCTGAATTACAAGTACTTCAAAACTGCCTGTCTTTAAAACAGGAAAATAGGTGCCTCCAGCTTGAAATTTTCTTGAGGGAAGAGAATCAGTTTGCCACTTTAAATAGGAGACTACAATTCTAATTGCTCTACTGTTCTCTACAGCAGAGAGAAATCAGCCATCACTTTATAGCAGTTATAACTGAAGGATAAGTGAAGACACCTTCAGGCAGACTAACATTAATGGACTGTAATACTGTTTATGAAGGCTCTGCTGAAGGCAGAGTGTAACTACAACCATCTCACTGCTGCCAAGGACAGGAGGAAGGCGGGGGATGTGCTAAACAACAGAGATTTGGAAGAGTATGGTTCCACTCTAGCATGGTTGTCTACTCGGAACCAGGCTAGGCCAAGCCCAGCAGGCTCCAGCCCAGGAAGTAAGCTCTCCCAAATCCTAGGTGTGTCCTTTCTGTGTTTCCTTATATCCCATCACAGGGGGGCACCTGCTCCAGCACAAGACAAAGCTGGCTCTGTGCATTCGTGCAAGACCGTGTTACAAAACTTTCTTCCCCTCTAAGCTGCAAGAGCTGCCAGCTCCTCTCACGCTAGAGGAACCAGAGATAGATAAGGATTTAATAGAAGATAACTGTTAGAAAGAACCAAATTGAGATTCATCAATTTCAAGAAAACAAACAGATCAATGCTGTCCATTAAAAAGAAACAAGAGGTACATCTAAGAGGACTCACATCAGGGCCTGTTTGGCCTGCCCCTCTCTACCCTCATCTAAACTGAAGATTCATACACCTTGAAGGGAAAAAATAATCTTGTATTTTCTTTGGATTCTCCTTTTGCTGATACTCCTTCCTCTTAAATCAAAAACCTTTGTACAAGCTATTATCTATGTAGCTCTGTATTGTGTACCTTTAACTATTTTTAGGGAAGTGGGGGTTTTTTATTCGTTTTGTAATGTACTTTTCCCAACACTGACTGAGCTTCTTTCCACTGTACTGAAGTACAGAAGATGATGAAGAAATGCCCAAAGGGGGCCTCATCACTGTGAAATCTTCCTTACCCTTACTTTTAGATTGACACTGCGGTTCTAAACAATCAAAAGATGAAAAAAAACGTTACTCTAAGAACAGAAAGATCATTTTTCCCCTCACACTTCAGGTTTTTTTAAGCAATCCCTTCGTACAAACATCATCAGTTCTCCAAAATGCTGTTGTCTTCAACCCTTTTTCTTATAAGGAGGAAGGCTTGCCAGCCTCCACAAAGAGGGACTAGACTAGGTCACTTCAGAGGTACACAGCCTACATGGCCGATGAAGAGGACTGCCTGAAACCACACCAGTCCTCTTTATACCATGTTTTCATTTGAGTCAAGGAGGCCTAAAAAAAGAACAAAATAGGCATCTCATTTTTGAAGTGAGCTTCAAGAGGTGAGCAATACCATCTCTCGGTGATTAATTTCTCGAAAAAAACAAAAAAAATCTGAGCATGCTATTAATGAGAACAGCTGCTGTCATGAATGTTTAAATTAGAAAGATTTTTTTTTTTATTCAGCTGTAAAGCAAAAGATCCAGTACTGGACTACAGAAAAGGCAAATTGTTCTGTGAGTACTAAAGTTAACGGAACTAGTTTTCTGCAGATTTAATGCCTACAAGTCCTTTCCCTCATCACATTTCACTGAAACAGCCCAATGCTTCAAAAACTGCTACATGACTGAGTACGGGGGTGGAACTGACAGACTGTCCAAATTTCCTTCTTAAACCTGGTTTCTTGTGGAAATGAGATTCACTAAATCAAATTTTCAAGATTTTTTTTTTATAGCACATTAGCACTTAGCACTCTTAAAGAAGCTAGGTAACAACATAATGGTGTACTCCGAGATACCCATTACTCAGTCCCTGTTCTCCAAGGCTGCAGATGGGCCATGTAACATGTTTCCATTTTATGGAAACCCCAAACAAAAGAAGCTAGGTAACAACATAATGGTGTACTCCAAGATACCCATTACTCAGTCCCTGTTCTCTAAGGCTGCAGATGGGCCATGTAACAGTATGCATTTTATGGAAACCCCAAACGGAAAGCGCAGCCTCAGGAGTAGAATCAGTTTACTGCTCTTAGCAGCACTACAGAGACCCATGAGGTGAAGCAACAGCTGTTACTTCCTCTGCCCTCAACATGTGCTAGGGGACAGAACAGTATTGTTTCATGCTGTCATCTGAAGACATTAAAATGGAGCTCCTAAAATGGATTTACATCACCCTAACTATAATTACCTTTTATCTCTAGATGCAATTGTCTGACATCGCTGATTATATAAAATGTGTTTGAGTAAGCTGTAGTCTCATAAAACATCCTGAACATAGCCCACTGTTGTAAAGACAACCCTGCTGTAAATAAAACAAGTACATTCCACTTACACTAATCAAGACAAAATTACCAGCAGATATTTTTGTAAATCTGCAACTACTGTTGCTGATTAGGGATAACAACATAGTGTAGAATCAAAGTGCATGTTAAAAATTTTTGAAACGCTGACTGCATTTTAAACGCCCACAAAAAAGTATGTGCAAACTGCATGCAACTGTACCTTCTTCATACAAGTCTTCCAGCAAATAAGCTTCTGCTCTGTCTTTGAGGGCATTCACATTGGTTGGCTCCAGCTGCAGAACTTCTGTACAAACTTTTATGGCTTCTGTAGCCTGCTGATTCTAGAGAGGAGAAAGTAAAACAAAATTGATGTAGTTGTGGGGTTTTCGGGGGTGGTTTCTGTTTGTTTTAAGGAAATTGACAAGAGACAGAAGCAGAATTACCTTTGATAAACAGTGGCAGATCCTTTCTTTGGCACGAGTAGCATAAATTGGGACTTCTGGCTCAGTTTTCATTACAGAATCATATTTACTGATAGCATCTTCGTACCTGTTTAAATCATAAAAATAAGCATAATATCATGAAATGTAGTAACTATTTTCAGGTTGTTGTGATTTACTTACAAATGTTAAAATTCCCCGATTTTTCATATCCTTCTAGCAATGTACCTTAACTTCAATAGTTTTTAAGATGTGGTGTGAGAAAAACTGTCAGCCACTTCAAGAATTACATCCCCATTCCCTTTCCTGTACTATGAGACAGAATAGCAGGCGCTATGCCTGGCAGGCTTTTGCAGAAGATAACAGCTACCGTCCCTCAGCATGCATAGACAACAGTCTCTAGATTTGCCTCCTGTCCAACACTCCACTCTGTACTTGAAAAAACACATCTCCTCCTCCAATATCCGAGATGGACTAAGTCTGGAGCCTTGCTGTGAGCACTATACTATTTGCATTTCTTGGTACCAAAAAGTTCTTCATGCCAGCTTGAATTGGGCAGCTGTTTTCTCCTTTCTTCTTCTCCTCCACAAGTGGCACAGTAAAATATATTTTTGCTATGAAGGTTTCAAAGATGCTGAAGTTCCATGGTTTGAGTAAGAAATGGATTAGAATGTTCACCTAAAAATGCAAGCATGTGATTGAACCCATGGGTTGGTACAAGCTAGGAGAAATTCAAGCTCTCAGAAGACTCCCTGAAAATGTGCTGATACTGGGTTAAATAGAAGACTAAAGTGAAGAGTGTCCAAACGGACTGCTGACCTAATAAAACTGTCTTCAGCTGTGCCGATTCACATTCCTGATGTACTTCATTTTAAAAAGCCACCTTGGCAATATTTTATCACTTGTTAGGGGTCCTTACAGTTGGATTTTACATGTTGACAAGCACATGATACTGAAATAAAGCAAGAAGTAGAAAATACAGAGGCATTGTCTATCATGCAGCAGAGTGCATTAAGAGAAGCCCGTCAGTCATAACCACTTTTGCTCTCAAGGCACTGCAGAGTTACTAGGTGGTTTTAGTCTAAAGATGTGGTCCATTAATCACAGAATAAGTGAGGTTGGAAGGAACTTCTGGAGGTCATCTGGTTTAACCCCTCTGCTCAAGCAGGCTCATCTAGAGATGGCTGCCCAGGACCGCATCCAGACAGATCTTGGAGATCTCCAAAGTGAAGAGACTCCACAACATCTCTGGTCAATCTGCACCAGTGGAAACGAGGGGGTGGTGGAAAGCATTTCTTTATATTCAAATGGAATTTCCTGTTTCAGTTTGTGCCCATTGCCCCTGGTCCTGTTACTGGACACTACTGAAAGGAGCCTGGCTCTGTCCTCTTTGCATCCTCCTTTCAGGTATTTATATACATCAAGCAGATCACCCTGTAGCAGAGAAGGCTCAGAGGGAACAGTCCCAGCTATCTCAGCCTTTCCTCACAGGAGAGAGATGCTCCAGTCCCTCCATCATCTTAGTGGCAATTTGCTGGACTTTATCTTGCAGTAGCTTCATCTCTCTTGTACTGGCAAGCCCAGCACACCAGGTGTGGCCTCATCAGTGCTGAGTAATAATATATGAGTGCTCACAAATATTATCCCTATCTGGGTCTTACTACCTGCTCCACAAATAAATTAAGTATGCAAAGAGAAGACAGTAGCATTAGAAGGAAACAGAATAGGATCGTCACTATGTGAGTCAATATTTATTTTAATTGTAATTTGAGAGCTGTGCTCAGTTATCCACTTCAACTGACAGATGCAAAAAGCATCACTTAATCAACTCCTCAATCAATAGTAAGTTGGTGCCTCAGTAGTGATTTTTTTATTTTTTTTTAATAAAGCAGTGAACACTTACCTGCCTTCTCTGATGAATTCCTCTGCTGACTCAATCTGCTTATTGAGTTTCTTTACTTGCTTATAGAGAGAGAAGCATTGCTTGTGGTCTTGGTCTAGCTTCAGACACTCCCGGACTTCACTTTTTGCAGGGAGGTAGGGAGAAAAACAAAACAAATAAAAAACAACCAAAACAGAAAGACATCACCACACATTATGAAATTTCACTTCGGCTCACAATGCAGCATCTATATCTAAGTATATCTTATGATGCAAAAAAAACCCCAAAACCACAAACCCAAAAACCCCACCCCAAAAAACAAATTCAGAGAAGAATAAAGAAAAGATGCTTATCCCTTTACTGATACCATTCTGTTCTTCAACAGCTCTCTCAATTGTACTTACAAAAATCTTAAGATTTGGTTATTAACAGAGGAAGTCCATGTGTGGATTTTGAAGGAAAAAAAAAAAAAACCAACACACCCACCTATTCTTGAAATCACTAGGCTAAGTGATGGTGAGCTACCGAAAGTCACCACAGAAGCGACCTATGAGCTCCAGTGATTAAGTATGCTCTGGAAAAGGGATCCATAATGCAAACCAATTAGTTATGTGGCGTTTACTTTTGCCCAGCTATAAAATTAATGTTTGCAGTTACAACCATATACAGTTTCCATCCACAAGCCTTTGTCATACACCACCAAGAAAAGAAACTCAGGCTTTTTCAGTTCCCTTCACCTCTTACTGAACAGATTCTGTGGCAGAAACCATATTGGAAGGAGTCTGGAGATGCAGGTAGCACATCCAAGATGATGAGCTGCACAGAAACCACTTGTGTACAAAATGAAGGATTGTATCATCTGTCCAGCTGAGCACAGAGTATGAAGTTAGCAGTCCATATTGGGCAAGGGCGGTTATCTGCAGGACTGAATAGGGCTGTATGGGAATAACACCTTAAACTTAACGAATACGAATAGGAGGTAGGACATTATAAAAAAACCCGAAAAATCCAAAATACTGGACACCATCTGCAAAAATGAAAGATTGACAGCTCTGGATCCCCAGCTCCTCACACTTGGATGCTCCTGTACTTTTTATGTATTCTTAAGCTTGTACATAACTTTTTGTTTCTATTCTTAAAATAAAAATCTAGCCCTAAGACTTAATGCATACATTTTGTTTGCATTGTAAACTTAACTTGAATGGAGGTTCAAGGTTAAAAAAAGGCTCCACCAAAGCGAGTTTAGAGAAGCACTTTCTTCTAGGATGGAGAAATACAATAAAGGCACTAAACATCAGCAACTCTGATGGACCTGCACTATGGCTTCTGTTTAAGAATAAACAAGATGCTAGGAACCACTGATGGCTGGTCTGCCAAGAATGGTGTCTTTGCTTCCTGTTCTTAGCTTCTGGAAAGGAGCTTCCTTTATCAAATCCAGATCAGAGTTGCTACTTTATCCAAAAACCAGACAACATAGATATTTCCGAGTTTATCATGACCTATATCATCGTATTTTCTGTCTCAATTATGATTACAGCAAACAGTAAAATTACCTGAGTGATAATTCATGGTCCCCAAGCTGATAATATATTCTGCTGATTTTATAGAAGGCTTCAGTGTTATCACTCTTTAATTTGGCAGCAGCTTTCAAGTCACTAATGGCTTTGCTTGGTTCCCCTTCCTTTATGTAACACTCAGCTCGAAGTTCTCGTAGCTCTGCATCCCAAACACAAACCTTGAGAAATCAAAATTAAAGCTTGATTTTGGTCCATAACACTTCACTTTTTCTCCCCAACAAAAGAAAAAATCCCATTTAATTTCACTTTGCCAACTGCCAATAGCATAGGGTTCAAGCTGCATGCAGAGTGCATGAAATTAGCATCTCTGCTTCCTGGTGGATGCTGTGATGCACCTGCCCAAAGAGAAAACAAAGGCCTGAAAAATTTGTAAATGATTCAATGAGCTCATGCAGGGAGATGAATTAAATCTACTGGCACTGCTTAAACTGGGACAGTCTGTTCAGCCTCCAGGGAAGGATATCTGAATCATAAATTATTATATCTTCCAAAAAGAATAGGGGTAATGAGCAGCAAGGACCAAGCTGTCAGTTGTCCTCTAGAAAGAAGCCTGTGGGTAACATTCAGCTATGCAAGATTTGATCTTGGTATTTGGATTTTAAAGGTCTATACAGAAGTAACAATGTCACAGTATGGCAAGACTAATTACTTAAAAGGAATTGCCTATCATAATTCATTTTAGAGAATTTATTCTGGGTCTTATAATTTGTTTGTAAACCATCATTTTAGAGAATGAGGCTTTTCCGCTTTTCCACATTCTCTCCCCATAAAGAGAGTGACAGTTTTGTCACCAAAAACTAGAATGTTGTAAATTCCAAGCCCATGTTAATTTGTATGTGAAGAGTCATAGCAGTTAACCATCTTAATATATATTTCTATATGACACACAAAATGCCTACATGATTATTTACACTTGTACTAATCAGACTACCTATACTGATTAAGAATCAACGAGCTGAAAATCCAGATAGCTATGTACATTTTTAACCGTGATTCTTTGACCTTTTGTTACTTCATTTTCTCAAGACAAAAGTTGCCTGCATACAGGCAATGAAAAAATTCTAGATAAAAACCCCTCTGCCTCCTGTATTTGGCAAAACTTCGCTGGTTTGAGAACAAGATTTTTCCCAGCTTCCCCAAGAACACTAAACTGTGGAAGAATGGGAAAGCATAATCAAAGTTATCTGTAATAGAAGTTTGGCTGAAGTTGTATCTTTAACCCTAACTACAATCTATTATTTTGACTTTTTTGCAGCTAGTGCTCAGCATTCTTCACTCTCCAACTTCATTATGGACTCCTGGTGCTCAGCAAAACTGAGCCAATTACACCAAGTGTTTTCACATCAGTGAAGAAGTTATTAAACAAAAATACACAAGATGTCAGACAGAAGCTCTTACTTCCCTTTCACAGTGCCATTTTACTTAACACTTACTGCCAAGATTTCATCAAGAAGAGAAATAGCGGCTTCGTAATCCTCTTGTTGGTAGGCAGATAATGCTTGTGAATGCAGGCGCTGTAGCTCATCAGATTTTGTCAGCTGAGTCTGGGCTTCTTTTTCCTCATTATTGCTAGGATTGGATTTGAGCTGCAAACATTAACAAGGAGAGAGACTAAAATCCTTGTTCAAGGACCTTTTTGTCCCATTAATAATCATATCATGGAGAACTGACTAAAGCCACAAATAAAGCAAAATTAGTTTTAAAATTCCACTGGAAATGTTTCCAACCCCAAACTTCAGAAGAAGAAAGACATTTTTAGCTTCAGTAAGAGTTGTCTGAAGTCTGAGAAATCTAATCCCACAACCCCCCCGCCGCTTCATCATTTACCATTTGATGCATCATACACAACAGTCATGCTCCCCCCATCACCCCTGGAAGCCATGGACCTCTCAGCTGTAGCCTAGTTAATTCATCACTCGGCAGAGATTCCCAGCATCAGTAGAGAAAGTTAATCCACTTGGCATAATCACATATCTCACTTTACGCACAATACTTATTTATAAATTCATGACAGAAACAAACACAACATGTCACAGATAGTATTAATGTAAAGCTGTGTTTCTTCTATTTCCCTCAGAAAAAGTGGCGACAGCAGCAAGTTAAGATGGGGGAAAGGCTTAACCGGGATCAGCTGGGAATTTATGCATTTTGCTTCATATGTAGTTGTAAACAATTCTAAAGTTCTGTCTACAAAGACTCTCTCAAACTCCTCCCTCTGAGCACGTAGAAGGGGTTACATTGTACTTGCCTTCATTTGTTTAGGCAGCTTTTTATTTTCAAAGGAAATAAAAAAAAAAAACAAACCAAAAAACAAAACCAAAAACCAAAACCCACAACCCAGCCAAAAATATCTCACAGGCAACTCTGCTACCACCCAAGAAGACAAATACGGTCCAGGAAAAATCTCAGTCATTCCCTTGCAAAGCCACCGAGTCATTTGTAAAATTGGTGTAGCTTGAGTAAGGCACCAGCTTCGCACTTTTTACTGACCAGAATGACTCCCAAAGTTTTAAAAGGGGCAGACCAGCAGGACTTGCTTTGTCTATCTGCTTGCTTTAAAAATCAAAACTTGCAGTACTTTGCATTTTATGCACAGAACGTTGACTGAAGTTACCAAGTCCTCAAAATCATCCAGTACCTTTTCTTTCCTCCTTTATCTCGAAGTGGTCCCTTCACTTTCCCTCATCAGTAAGTTCTCCAAACACTCCTATTCTGTGCTTAAGTCTCTAATGTAATTCAACAACATCAGCCCTCGGAACTCCTGTAGCAAAAATTTCCCCTGGTTCTAACACTTAAGTGTATGAAAGGAAAAAGCCTAAATGCAACATCAAAAGCACACACAGGTCCCACCTCTGTCTTAGTTCCTTCATTTAAACTCTTTTTGAACCTTATGCAGTTGTTTCATTTTACTCTGGCAAAAATCAAGTGTTATTTAGACCTGAGAATTCTCCTTTATCCCCTAACACTGTCTTTCAGCAAGAAGAGAGGAATGCGACCAAAGAGTTTTCTTTGTAGGCTAATTCCTAATAAGTCTCAAAAAGCTCTTCTTCTGGTTAGAACAACAGAAACTCTGCCTAAAAACCCCTCTTGTAGGCTAATTCCTAATAAGTCTCAAAAAGCTTTTCTTCTGGTTAGAACAGAAACTCTGCCTAAAAACCCCTGATGTTGTGCAACCTTTTTCTCCCCCAAATCTGGACCTTGTATTAGAGACAAAATTTCTGCACCTGTAATTTTAAAAATTCCAAGACTACAAAACTCTCTGAAGTTCTGAACTCTTTAGTTCCGTCTGACTTGCTTAATTTTCTCCCTCAATTTCTCAGTATTTCCCTCTCTTCAAAATTAAGAGCTTTTACTAGGGATGAGCTTTATGCTTCCATTTAAACATCACACAATAACACTGCACTCCTTAAACACACAGTATGTTTCTTGTAATTTATTTGGAGCAAAACAACAGTGAAGTATGAAAAGCAATGTTACAATCATACAGCCAAGTCCAATAGTACTAAAGACCATTTGAGTGAAACATCCTAGATAATCTTAGGTAGTACAAACTGTTCGGTTAACAAAGAAAGGGAAACTCCTCAAGCCATCATTCAAACTAAAGCCATCAAGTGTTTGTGTGCTGCAGTACGATGAAAATATACACTCAGAAGTTCTTAATAAGTAATTAGTATATTGCCATGAGGTTTTAATCAGTAATGTTAACTAACTAAAGCAAGAAGCAGCCTGTTCATTTGGCTCCAAGAAAAAAGCTGGTAATGTGATGCAGTTGTTTGATACTCTCATTTTGATTTACTAACCCATTTTTTTCTGTCTCTGCCCTGTGGTCAGAGGACTATCACATCACTATCAATAACTATTCACATTTCAATTACTCCTCCTCTTCCTGTGCAGCAATAAGCTTGGAGGTGGCAGGTCAGAACAACTGCTTGCACTAAGCGTGCTAGATTTCCAACAAAGTATTAAAAACCCCTTAGCTGAATTTAATACCCATCTAAGGCAAACCTAACACTCCTCTACATGCTTCACCAATGGCCTCAAAGCACGAAGTCAGAAGCTATACTCTGCTCAGGTCTGCTGGAGAAGCACACTGGTGAACATGTTCTCAGCACAATATGCTTTGCTGTCTTTGAGGTTTACTACATTTGGATTAGAACACGAAAAAGTTGCAATTTCAGTTGCAGCAACAAGAGCTAGCCATCTGTTACAGCAGCTTTCATTCACTACCAACCTCCCCCCCACCTGCATCTAATTCCCTTACAGAAAACAAAGCCTAGTATACAGGAATGGCTTTGTTACTGTATGCAATTCTCCATCACAGATTTCGTACTGTAAATGCCGCTTTATTTTATAGCCTCAGTACAGGGGAGAAACACACCCCAGGGTAAATAAAACCCCACTTTTTCCCCCCTAAGTGAGCAAGATTAAAAGGAACACAATCATCATCCCCACTCAATTTACCAAGTCAAGCTTCAAAAGTATTTGCATATCTTTCTCCCTATTACTTTCAATGAGGTGACACACAATGTAAGATTTACACATATTTTTTTTTTTAAAGTTCAGTCTGTGGCTTGTAGCTGATAGCTGTACAATATAACTCACAACAAGTAGGGCCAACCTGCCTAGGAACTTTTGAAATAGAATCTCTTTGTAACAAGGTTAACAGATCCTGAGTAAATGCTGTTAAGTCACTCTGAAGAAGTCAGCAGACACTAAGATAAAACACAAGATGCGTGCAGAAGGACCAGGCCTTGCCACTCAGGAGTCACAGACATGAAAGAGGCCCAGAGGTCATGGAAAACAACCACTGACAGACCCCTCCACAACCACCACTGAGGACCCGAAGACTACGACTCCAATTACTGATGGGGAGGGGAATATGTAAATAAATTTCAGGAACTCACTGTCATAAGACAACTTTTTCCAGGAAACACAATGAATATGCATATCTTCATCCTATATATGGTATAGGATTTCGGTTGCATGCATGCATGCATGTTAGGGGGAGTGATCCCCTGTGCGTTTGGTGCCTTCTAACACTTCAAACAAGTCTTAGAAGGTCGTCTTTGCTGACTTTTACAGTAACAAGGAAGCTGGCTTCTTCCAGAACTTTATCTCAAGGACTCGGCTCAAAACTTTGCAACATTACCTTGCTGCACCCAGGACAGTGGGGAAAAAGGCATTAGTAGTTCAAATGATGAAACCCAGCATTTTTTTGACATCTAGAAAGTGCTTAGATCACTTCTACTCCAAGTAGGCAGCGTTGGAATGGCTGCCTTGCATTTGCAGTCAAACATCAAGTTTTTTAAAGTTTTCTGATGGGAAAAGAATTTTAATGAGCTAAACAATTCATGCTGTTTTTCAACAAGCAGCATAATCCCCCCTCCAAACCTGCCATGCTTCATTGTATTTCACATGTCCGTCAACATGGCCTTTCTAACAATACACAGAAGTTACACCAGCCACACACAAGGCTACATGAGAAATACAATGCAGCACTACTTCAGAAAAATACTGCTAATAAGAGGCCGTCGATACAGCCAAACTGGCATACCAGCAGTGACAAAACACTGAAGCAAGGCCAATGTTGTGTGTTGTTGCATTTTGTGTTGGATGTTGCTATGAAGATGCCACATGCCAGTCTGAATTAATGCATTTCAATGTGTTGCACCTACATGTATCTTGTAATTGTGCTTTTTTGATCAGCACTATGCTTTTTATTTAACAAAAGCTTTACAACATGCTAAAAAAATGGATTCCCAAACACAGAACACTTAACAGGAGACGGAACTGGAAATCATGAACATGGAGCAAGTGCCTCCTGCCTATTAAGTTTAGTAAAGACTTTTCGCTTCATGATCTTTTTTTCAGAAGTAAAGGGAAGAGTTACAAAACTCTTCTGGGTGAGCTAATTCAATGGCTTACCACAACCTGTCCTGCTTTCCAGTGACATAGTCCTACATCTTCCTTTGCAACGGCCCATTAACAATACAGGAAAAGGTTGGGCATTAAGTACAGTAATCCTGATGAAAACAGTTGTGGCCACCTTTAGAAAAAATACCAACAACTCAAAATCCGCACTCTCAAAGAGTATAGATTAAAGAGATACAGGCAATTCACCTGTAGCATTTGAGTATCTTAGTTTGTATTATAAACAGACACTATCAACTTGAAAGACTCTTACATACCGTTGTTTAAAACCCAAAATATTGTTAAAAAACCCAAAACATTACAGACACACTGTTCCTATACTTCTTCAGCACCACTAACATAGGCATACATCTACACATTCTAATGCTATTTTATTTTCTTGTTTTTCACACTGGTAAATACACAGACAATGAAAAGAAACTGATTAAGCTTGTGAAAAACATTCTGAGGGGAACAGAAGGAACCTCCATGGTTTGTGTTACCTCAGATCAAGACATCCATGCATGCAAGAACAGAGAGTGCATTGACAGAGCAATATATTAGGTAACACAACTATGATGTTAGACAGATGGAAAAAAGCAAGGAAATATTTAAATGCCTCTTATACTTTACCCAGAAAGCTGCAGATAATCACAGTACCAGAGGGGAATGTATT